TTAAGTTAGCCTAGTTTTCTTTCACTTTTAAAGTTTTATTGTATGTTCAGCATTATTTTAAAAAACAAATTAGGGCTTTTTGGCCCCGTACATGACGCACAAGTCCACTCCAAGTTGCTCTGCTCGGGACATGGCAAAATCCAAGACCCGAGCTGAGTCTAAAAGCATTGGTCTTAAGTGTCAAAACTTAAAAAGATACACAAATATTCAGGTCGACTGGGTAAAGTTAAAGGGAAGTTAGTTCAACAACAATAAATCCATGTTGGCATGTAGCAGATCTAACTGGTTCCACACCACATATTTGAAAAACCCAAAAGGAATGATCCCTTTATTTCTCACAAAACCCTAATTCAATGAACAAAAATGGCAGAAATAAATAACCAGATACTATCTCAGCAATCAAATCACATTGCAATTCACAAAGATTGAATACACAATGGAAAAACAAAATGAAAACAAATTTACTGCAGAGCGCAATCTAAAAAAAGGATCAGTATGGAAGATTTAAAATACATATCTAAACCATAAGGAAATAAAATTTGGGGAAAATACCTGTATTCAAGGTTGGATTTGAAGAGAGAGAGAAGAAAGGCGAAGAGGATTCAGAAACCGAACATTTTGAGAAGGAAAAAGAAAAGGAAAGAGAAGAAGATAAAGAGGAAGAGGTAATCGAGGAAGAGAAAGAAGGCAGCCGATCCATGGTTTCTGGATTTGAGTTCTCTCACTTCAACCGGTTTCGCCATTAATGGATCTCCAAAGATCATGCGGGGCCTTTTACATGGTATCTACGTGCATAAATAAGCTTGAGCGAGAAGTTGAATTGTTGCGGCCTTGAAGCGGGCCTAAGGGTGGCAACGGGCCACACCCTAGCCTAGGGGTGCAGAGGGCTGTGGCCGGGGCAATCTGGCCCTTGTTCCCATCGGTCGGGCATGGCCAAAAATGAGTGAAGAAAGAATAGAAAAAAGGGGCCCGGTCCTAGGCCACACTTCATGGACTAAAGTCCTACTTTTTTTATGCCGAGTGGGTCGGGCTAACGGGGACAATTGCGAGCCCTAAAATTCCATCCACCTTTTGAATGAATCCAATACGGGATTGTCTACCGTGACATCATTTATCTTTGGATGCGGTCAGCATAGGTTCGAGGCTCAAAATAACCTAAGTAAAAGGCACCTTCAACTAGTACGAAGAGATATGATTTTAATAAAAAAAATATCATCATACTCTTCATTTTTAGTTTTATATCCCAATAGATTTAAAATTTCAAAATATATATTAGCTATAAAAATTTTAAATTTTATATCTTTTAATCTCCTAAACTAATTTTATCTTTTCTACTTGTTATTTTTTTCAAAACAAATACAAAAAAAAAACATATATTTTTTAAATTTCATCATTTTTTCCTTTCCACATTATTTTTTCTTAAAATGTCTCTCTCCGTGACTTCCCCCAAACGCTCTATCTCCCCTGTGGTTCCCTAAATCCTTCTCTCTCCTCGTGTCCCCACCCACTTTCTCTCTCCGTGTTTTCCAAACTTTTCGCATTTCCCAAACTCATTCTCTCTCTTCTTGTATTCCCCAAACCCCCCTCTCTCTCTTTGTAGTTCCCCAATACCTCTCTCTCTCCGCCTGTGTTTTTTCAAACCCCTCTTTCTCTCTCCAATGGTTCCCCAACCCTCATCTCTTTATCTCCTCGTGTTCCCCCAATGTCTGCCTCTGATAAATTTACAGCACCCAGTCAGCCTACAAATGCCCATCTCTGACTCTCTCTCCGGCTGCTTTAAAGGTTTCTTTGCTGGAGCCCTCTGTCTCTAGACTCTCTACCCAACCACTCCCCCAAAACCACACCTCTCTCTTTCTCTCTCAAACTACCCAGGACCCAATCACCATCACCTTCAATTCATACCCATGTCCTCTTTTTTCTGGCTCTTCATCTTTTTCCTCTATTTTTCTCTAACTGTCCAGAACCCAATCACTATCTCCTCAAATTCAGATACATGCCTTATTTCTTCTAGCTCTTCAACTTTTCTTTTCTTTCTCTACAATCCACTAAAGCCCCAACAAACTTACCTCAACAACAGCCAATTGTCCTGCAACGCCAACGTATCCTACAACCCTGGCTACACTTGCAATAGTATCAACTCCTACAAAACCTTCCTCTCAACCCACCTACAATTCCCCTGTCTCCATCGCCTATCTCTTGAACTATGATGCCCTGCAAAACCTTCCTCTTCCTTAGTTCTCAACCTACCTTCAATTCTACTGTCTCCATCGCCTATCTCATGAACCCTGATGCCCAAGAAATTGCATAGATTAATGTCCTAATCGACACATCTATCCCACATATTCACATGCCCAAGAAATTGCAGAGATCAATGTCTTAACCGACACATCTATCCCCACATACTCATTGGTTATAGCTCTTTTAAATTGCTGATGGTTCTTTTTATCAGCACAATGCCAATTACATCCTCAATCAGGATGATACTTATTTTACCATAGATAAGCACAAACCCTCTTACATCCTCAATCAGGATGATACTTATTTCACCATAGCCAATAACACCAATGAGGGCCTAATAACCTGTGAAGCTCTAATGCCCAGGGTAATTAAAAAACTTTGAAATTAGCAGAACACAAGGAGAGAGAGAGAGAGGGGTTGGGTAATCACAGGGGGAGAGAGAGACTTGGGGAAACACATGAAGAGAGAGGGAGGGGTTTGGGAACCACAGGGAGAGAAGAGGCGGTCTGGGGAGCCACAGGGAGAGAGGTTGGTTGGGGAAACACATGGAGAGAGAGAGGCTTTGGGAAACGAAGAGAGAGGGAGAGAGAGAGGTTGGTTGGGAAACAAAGGAAGAGATAGAGGGGTTGGAGTGAGAGAGAGGATGGTTAGGGAAACACATGAAGAGAGAGGGTTTATGGGGAAACACATGGAGAGAGAGGGTTTGGGAACCAAAGAGAGAGAAAGAGAGGTTGGTTGGAAAACACAGTGAGAGACAGAGAGGAGAGATAGAGAGGGGTCGGGGTGAGAGAGAGGGGTTTGTGCAAACACGGGGTAGAGAAAGAGAGCGAGACATGGAGAGTGAAAGTGGGGGAAAATAGAGAGAGAGACAGAAAGGGTTTGGGAGATCTCAAAGAAGCGAGAGAAAAAAATTTGGGGTGAATATATCAAGCAAAGAGAGGAAATGTTTAGAATGAACATTTTTTTTTATATTTGTTAGTATTAAAGAAACAGTTAAAAATAGATAAAGTTAACAAGGGTTTAAGAGATATATTTTGATTTTTTGGATCTATTGAGATATAAAAACAAAAAATAAGTGGCACGGGGATATTTTTCTATTTTAATATTAAAAATATTTGTGATAGCACTAAAATATATTTTCATCTCTAATTATAAAATCTAAAGCTAGGCTCTAAACAATCAAATTAGAGCCTACTTTCAAATAGTATCGAGAAATGTAGTTTCAATATTGGAAATCTTTGTGATAGACTTAAAATATATTTTTTATAACATAGTGTAGATCGGCAGATCTATGAAAACTTAAAAATGTAGAAAATTGACCGTCCAAAAATACGTTACAAAATACAATTTTTCCAAAACTTGAAATCTAATTTTTTTTCGTGTCCATGCATCTTGATGTCGAGATGATCAATTTGAATATATTTAGGCATCAAAACAACCCTTTTTAGTGAAATTTTTGAAATAGGTTCAAATTTGATTTGTTAGAGCCTTGGCTCTATATATAAACTTTTCCCTTTCAAAAATAGTGTAGATAGAGTAGATCTATGAAAATTTGAAAATTGACTGTAAAAAAATACATTCAAGATTGCACTATTTCCAAAACTTAAAATCCATTTTTTTCTCATGTCCAAGTATCTTGATATCGAGATGTTCAATTTGAAGAGATTTGGACATCAAAACAACATCTTTTAGTGAAATTTTTAGGTGCGCCCTAATTTGATTGTTTAGAGCCTCACACTTATATTAACTTTTTTCGTTATTCTCGTAGGTTCCTATTGGTTAGATGTCAAATTGGATGGCTTGGGGTGAGTCACAAGGTTCGAGAATATTTTTTTCGGAACTATTCAATAACACTTTTACAACAACTTATTTTGAAATTTAAGGACAAAAATAGTTGTGACCTCCATGTACAAAAGATAAATAGTTACAATATCATTCAATAAGGAGTGTGATTCCTATAAGACGTCAGGCCTTAGACAAACAAGGTGTGTCTCTAAATTATGCTAAAAAATGTAGTTTTGGTTTCAAAATTTTTTTTGACGGCCTAAGAATTTGTTTCATCCCTAATCATGAATGGGAAATTTCACCATACACCCTAATTTAGTGTGTGATTTCCATATGAATCCTGAAATTTGAAACATTTTTTGCGGCATTACCTTTGTCAGTTTCATGTCTTCTAACCCTTTGAATAATTTTTATTCTTGTGAAAATTATTTTGAATAACTTATTTTCCCCTAAACAAATCCTATAAGGACATGTTCATCCATCTCTCTCACGTAGTCTCGCCACCCGAAACCGACCCGAAACTCACTCTCTCTCTCTAGCCTCTCTACCTCGAACCGTCCCCCCCCCTCTCACTCTCTCTCTCTCTCTCTTCTCTCTCGCGCTCTCTCCACTCCCCTGAGATCTGCCCTAAACAAATCCGGCTTTGTTGAGCAATGTAGTTTTGAGCCCCAAACCTATTGATTCTAGAGAGAGAATCATCCACGCTCATTGGGTTCAGGCATCCAAGCTTGAGCTTCT